GATGAGTCAACTGTTTCAAAACGTTTAAAAATATTAGGAATGATCCAGAAGCAAGGAACTTGGGTGCCATATGAATTGAAGCCGAGACATTGTACGGCGTTTGTCACGTGTGAATTACTGCTTCAACGGCAGAAAAGAAAAGGTTTTTTGCACCGTATCGTGCAAACGTTTTTGTTCCTTATATTTTAAATAAAGTTTTTATTTTGTAAAAAAACAGCGAGAATTTATTCAAGGTTCTAATAATTGTATTTTCAATAAATCTTTTTGCTATTTTTATCAAATTTAATAACACACAATATATTTATATATACATAATTCATTTCGAAATCTACCAGAACAAATAACAGCCAAGTGTCGCTTATAGGAATTGAAGAAAAGTATTTTCTTAAAGTGTAAAACTTGCACGTTCTGTAGCAAGGAACGGTTTGAAAGCATTAGGAGGGTATGGAGGGACAAAGTAGAAGAAAAATTGTCGAGAGGGTAAACAAATAAGCAAGGTTATTTGAAAGAAGACACCCCATTTTCATCAGCATACCGTTTGAGTAAGTTCCAACGCATAGAATATCGTTCTGTTCGACGCGTTCTGCGTACGAATGCGTATACATACATTCACGAATCGGCAAAAAGGGGAGATGAAAGAAGGAGGAGGAGGAGGGGGAAGAGGTAGAAATAGCGGGAGAGACAACAAGGATGAACCGCGAATTTCCGTCTAAAGTGTTAAGTTATGGAGTGTGGTTTCAGAAATCCTTGAAGGAAGAAGAAGAATAAGAAGAGGGGTGAGAAGAAGAGGGATGAAAAAAAGAAGGATGAAGTAGGAGGGTCTTCAGACATATGAGGACGATCGATCGTCGTTCAGAAAGAGAGAGAGAAAGAAAATGAAAAAGAAAAAAAGATATGCAAATTTTCCTTGGTCTGACTCTAAAAATGGCTAGACTTCCAATTCGGTCTTCATTCGTCAAACCTTCGACCTCCGAAGTGAAAGAAGGTGAGAAGAATTTTATTTTTTTCTACCCCTCTTCCCTCATCTTTCTTTTTTTACTTTCTATATTTCTTCTCTTCTTCCTTCTCTCACTCTTCTCGTTCATTCTATAGCTATTTCTCCTTATTCGTCACGTATTCGGACTAACAAGTTAGATTCGTAGCCGGAAGGTGAAAGGTAAAAAGGAAAATAAGAGAAGAGTAGGCTCAATAAGGATGGAAAAAAAATCGCAAGCGAATCTTTCTTCGTTCCTTTCCTCTCATCTCAGACACATGACATTGCTATTTCTGGCGCCTGCAGATACGAACCCGATGAAACGTATATGTTTTCTTATATATGTATATGAGTTTCTTTCTCTGTGCTATCCTTGAACGTGAATAAATAAAGTGCTTTCTGAAGAGAACGAGGAAAGAAAAAAGAAAAAGAAAAGGAAAAAGAAATAGTCGAATAAGTATATTACTAGCGATAAGTTTGGCTAGCTGAGGGAAGGAGGACGAGGTTGACTTCGTACTCATAATAATAATATATCTGGATGAAAAACCTCTGACAAATTATTATCGATTATCTTTTTCGTCGTATTATTTGTAGACATGGATACTCGTAGATTTTACTATAAATCTTAATTTCAAGCAAAGAAAACAATTAACGAGAGAGAAAGAGATAGCAAGAGAAAAAGTAAGGGACTCGAGAAAAAGAAACTTTACGGATACCCCATACAATTAACGTAGTAGCCTGGCGAGAAAAAGAAAAAAGTCTAATTTGTGAGCGAGTAAATAGTTGGTAAGCAAACTATGTTGAAACAGAAAACAGTCGTAACGAGTTGGTACAATAAATTTACGAATTAAACCGCAATATATTAATGTAACAAATAGAAAACTAACGTATAATACTTATTATAAATTAATATTAATTTTAAGTCAATAAATATATCGAGCTTATTTAGAAAAATATATTATTTTAATTATTTATGGTATAAATGTCTAACGAAAGTCAGAGAAAGAGAAAAAAAAAAGTAGAATGAAAGAGAGTCAAACTCGGAGAAATTTTAATAACGCGAAATACGCGAGAGAAAAGTAGAGCAAAAGAAGAGAAAAGAAAAATAGTTTCATGTAAAGAGACATATCAAAATGAAAGGGGTAACGCTATGCAAAGGGGTATGTGGAAGTACCTAAAGAAACTAGACGGAGGTAACATGTTCGTGATGTGTATCATGTACGCCTTCGTAATTAGACTCACAAAGCTTTCGGAGAGGTATGTAGGAGGTCACAAATATAGCACCGCAGACTGGTATGATGAAACGCAGCGTGTAAACCACAAACTGTACTAACGAATTTACCGATCTACCTAGTGTAAGTCGACCAAATTACGAATCTACGTGTCGACAATGAAGGGAACGAGTTGTGAAAGATTAATGAAAAACATTTACTTCGCTTGGTAAAATCGTCTGGAGAATAAATGTGAAACGAAAAAAATAAAGAAGAAGAAGAAGAAGACGGAAAAAAAAAAAACAAATAAAAATAATGTTTCACCATGATTAATTCCTTTTTCATTCTCTTATTATTTTTCTTTCTTTGCCTTCTATTCTCGTTTGTTTGATTCATTTTATAAAAATAAAAAAAAAGTAAAATAAATAAGATAAATATATAAGTTTCTTTGATAAATTCATATCTAATACGTAAATGATAATATCGATCTCTAGTATGAAAAATTAAACAATAATAAATAAATTAATTGTGAGATTTTGAATAACGAAAGATACAATAGAATGTTCACGTCATAAAATAAAACTGTTGAGGTGTCAGCAGAGTTGTTTTAAATAAACTCAACATTGCCTAGACTGAATGATAGCTATACCAGTGATGCGCACTAGCCGTAAGATATAAAAGAAGGATTAACATTTAACGACTTCATCGTTTCACTGGTATCTACCACACAGAACGAACCGATCGTGCTAGCGTCGTAGTCGTCGTTATACGTCCAACGATAGAAGAAAACAACAAAAATAGAGAGAAAGAGAGGAAGCATCGTTAGCGCGAGTTACTCGAGGGAGAGAAAACGAAAAAAGGAACACAAAGACTACGAGTTGTAATTCATAACATCGTAACCATTTTTTATCCTGACGACATTCGTGAAAAAGAATAAGAGGAAAACTAAAAGAAAGTAAACGCGGTGGTGCAATCCATGTAAACGAGAAATTATGAGTGTGGTAAAGAAAATAAACTAAAAGTAATCGACGAATCTACTACTCAAAATCGTCTATATGTGTTTTTATTTTCATGATCAAACGATAAAGAAGAAAACTATTGTAAATTTATGAGAAATTTTACTACGTTGAAAAAATAATATTTATCGATCATTATTTTTTCTATGTTAATAAATATACATATTAATTATAATTAACGTCAATTGATAGCGATCGTTAAATCTAGCGAGCTACAGGAAATAAGAGAACTAGGATCAGAGCATCGTTACTCTGACGATATTTTCTTTCAAAGTTACTAATATAGTAGCCACGAAAATCACAGGGCAATCTCTTTTATATGCTACGTCAATGCATTTGTTTACACAGCAAAGTAAATCATTAACGCTTAACAAGCGACTCTTAAATTACGTATTGTTCTTCTCTATTGTTCGAGCATGTATTGTAGTACCTAGCTACCATGATAAGAATCGAATCATTTTACTAGAGTCGTTCTATCGTTAAAAACTAACAAAAAATAATAAATAATATCAAATATAATGAAGGTAAATAATATATGTGTTAAACAAAATTTGAAAAAATAGTTCTATTGGAGGATCAAAGTATACTAATTATAACAAATCGGTAAGTGTGCGTTTATAAACTATACGACAAAGTGAATTTAAAAAAAAAAAAAAAAAAATATTTAGAAATGATCAGTTCATTATGCAAACGTATGAATATAATAAAATAGAAATAAATGCCGAACGAGAAAGAACGTAGTTATTCATACATAAATTAGAAAGATGAAATAAATAGCAGGGGCGCGTTTAATTAAATTTTGTCTCATGATATATGTTCCGGTTATTACACACTGTTCCTCCAAAAGCTCCCTCGAGTGAATTTGACTATTTATACGTTTTACAGCATTTAACATCTTTGCGATAAATAAGTCGATTTTGACTTTGTTTTCTAAGAACAAGATTTTCTTTGGTCACAAAATTCACATGTGAAATTTTAATTTAAAATTATATTTCATATATTGTATAAAGCTTTTTGTCTTATCATAGAGACTTCAAAATTTCAACAATGAGTAAAAATGAAAATTCATTTAGTACTTTTTCCTAGAATCGAATAAATTATTTCCAATTTAACGCATTAACGTAATAACTATTTCCACTTTTCAGATCTTCGTACGATTAACGATAACTGAAACACCGGCAGTGCTTTTCTCAAGAGACTAAGTGTGCGGAGCACATAATTTTTGCTATAAACCCAAGTTATAGCGATAATACCCTCGGTGCGGAAAAAAAGTCTTAAATGAACCGAAGGTAGACATTTTTGCTCTATCGTAAACGAAACGTCCAAAGAGATCGTCGTCTCTATGCTGCTCCACTCATTTTTCTCTTTCTACTTTCTTTTTTCTCTTCTACTTTTTTAATTTAATCGGTCTAAATGTTCCTCATTCTCATTCTAATGTTCTTTTCATCTTTATTATAATTTCAACGTCAATTTAACCAATCAAAATATGTATGTCGCAACAATAAAATAAATTTATGTACCGACTACTTGCAAGTGAGTTATAAATACAATTGAATTCTTTTGTTTTCAATTTTTTAAATTAATACACCGATGCGATAACTATGAGAGATCATTTTTTTTTTTTTTTTAATAATAGTCACCAAGAAAAAAAATAGAGAAAGAGGAAAAGAGAAGTTTCGAGAAACTCACAGTTCTCGAGGTAGCGGAGAAATCAAGGAATTAAAATGCTAATGCAATATATGAAAGCAACTCGAAGCTTTCAGCCAGCTCGAATATGTTAATTTTGTAAAAACTACTCACCACCGAGATCTGCAAAGAAGATTTCGCGGAGTGCTAGAAATTCTTCCTCCGGCGGTATATCAGCCCTTCCAAAGGAATCGTTCTCTGGCCAGACTTCTCTGTAATATAATTTCGTTACATTTACTTGGACGTCTTTTACTACGAATACGACGATAAGTACATACCTTGCATTTGATTTTATATTAATAAATCCTTACGTACATTTTGAGATGTCACGTTAAACATAAAATTTGAAACGAACGTTTCAAAATTCACGATAGAAAGAAATAATTTTATTAGAATAAAAGACAAAAAGAATCTATCAGATACTTTGATAATCTTGTAAAATTATTCGTTTTCGCATAACTAAGCATTAATTTGTAACAAACGTCGCCATTTTCTAATCATCGATATTCCCTACTGCGCCACGCAGTTAAAATCGTGGCATACCAAGCATATTACCCATTCACTGTTATATGCATAAATGCCGTTAATAACAAGCGATTACCAAATAATTGACTTACTGTATGCTCATTCAACGTTCGATTACACTTCATCGCACCTTTTGGTTTAAACAGATATGTATAATTGTTCGAATTAGTTTATGATAACTTGTGACCAGTTGTGCATACATTTCACTCAACGTAGCAGAATTTGAATACGCGTCACGTACTAATAATTATGAGGAAAAGAAAAAAGATTAAATAGTATATTATTTAGCAGAGTAATTGATAATAGATGTACGGTTTGTAGATGTACACATATATACTTAAGTATATACATATAGATGCGTTATCGATAATACAATTATTTGTGTTAATTTACTACGATCTAATTGCATCTCTAATACACGTCTGATACGTGATTGATAGGACGTTACATACATTCATTTGAATAAATTACAATGCATTTAGGTGACACATGTGCATCTATGTACACACACTATATTCACAGATATATATATACATATATATAATATATTACATACATATACATACATAATTCAAGAATGTATCAACTTTGAATATACATAATAATGCATTGTGACGTATTATCAGCGAGAGTACAAACCCTGATCTTCATCACAACCATAATTCTTTCTTCTCGCTATAAAAAGTATTATACTTACAAGAGGTCAAGTATGATCTACCGATTATGTACTCGAGGTAAAAAAAGAGAATGAAAATACGAAGGATACGAGGGAATAAGAGTCTCGACTATACAAGAATTTGTTGTAATATTATTCCGTGTTATACAACGAATCTCAAATACCTATAAAAAATCCTAATAGTCATTTCGTTTCCAATTAATTGCTAAAATAAGTACTGTTATATTTAAAAAAAAAAATTGCTTTATTTGATAATTATTTTTACGCTTACTGTTTTATTTTTTACGCAAGCAAAATTATTGCATGATTAAATATCTTATTGCCGGATAATAAAAGAAACATTTTCTTTTATCCTTTAAAAATACCGAACAAATTCTCCCGAATTAAATAAAGCTCGTATACATACACGTATTTAGAAATCCGTGTTTCAAGCAAACAAGGAATAAGAAAATAATCAGGTGGCATGAGTTCTCGCTTAATAGGAAGAAGAGATTAGACGATCAAATAAAGCGTAAGCCATTTAACGCAGACGACTTTCCTTATCTTCCGAGTAGAGGTGTTAGCAACACGAAGGGAGAAAATTCGAAGGCTAGAAGAGAGCACAGGGCATACGTGGAAGGTCTCGTGAACAATGCCACAATCTACACCAAGGTCCGACTCTTTATAAGTCGAGTGGTTCGCACCCTCCGAGAATCTCACCCTCGGACACTCTTGCGTTCCTGGTGCTGCTTCAACCCCAACTATTTTTATCCTCTTTTTTTCCCCATCTTGACACCATTTGAGTTTTCATTGACCATAGTGTTACCGTACATTATTTTTCCTAAAGTGTTCTCCATTTTTTATTAATACCTTATTATATTCATAACTATATATTCATAACTATATATATATTTTGTTATTAAACTAAAACTGTTTTTACTTTTTAATTCAAGCTAAAAAAATTAATTATTTTAAAATCCCTTTCCTTTTTCATTCATGAATAATAATAGAAAATATGTAATTACGAGATGTAGATAAAACAAAGTTATATTAATTGCATTAAAATATTCAAATAATATTCGAATAATATTTGAATACGTAATACTAGTAAATTAATAGCTAATTTATTCTAGCTACGTTAAAATTTGATGCAGTCAAATGAAAAGATAAAGAGAATACACGGATGTTCAATTCAAGATAAAGATAAAAGAAACAAGGAGAAATAGGGTAAGAGTATTTTTTCTCTTGAAGAAAACTCGCAGATGCAATTCTACCTTACCTGAACATCTTCTCGAATTATGAAGATGCTCGTTATTCGACACTAAGGCGATCGTTTACATCAAGATTTCAAAGTATTTTCCATTCTAACTCATTCTTTTCAGCTTTTTCTTTATTTTCGTACTATTAAGAATCGATTTGTAATAAATATAGAAGTTCATGAAGATACAACAGCAACTTTTTGACAAATATTTCGAACTTTTTCTATTCAAAACGCTTTGATAACCAATTCCTTTCACCACAATCAAGAAGAAAGCTATCGATCATTTCTTATCAAGATCACTAAAGAAGAAAGAAAGTAGTAGAGAATGAAAAAGAAAATGAAAGGAAGAGGAAGAGTGGGAGACATTGCAATTCCATAAAAGCCGAGAGATGTCGTACCGTTTTAGGAAGCTTCTATTCCTCCTGAGAGCGGAGGAACATCGAAAGAAAGGTGAAAGTCTGCGTACGTGACTTGAGGACAAAGGTAAAATCACATCTTGGTAGAAGTCTCAGTAAAAGGGTATAGTTAATGGCAGAGCACTCTTAACCCTGACGCGCTCTCTGCTTGCCAGTGGGATGACTCTCTTAGAAAATTTCACTCGGCTTGAATTTTAATAAAAGAAAAAAAAACGAAGAAAAAAAGGAAAACAAAAAAGAAAAAAAAAGAATACGAAAGAGAAAGAAAGAAAAGGGAGTGTAATAAGGAAAGATAAAGTAACAAAAAAAAAATCAAAAAGAAAGAAAAAAAGTAATGAAAGTTAAGAGACGAGACATCTCTTGTATCAAGAAATATGCCAAAAGTCGAAATGAAGATGTTACAGTAGAGAAAGAGAGAAAGAGAAAAAAGTCAGAGACGTGAATCAAGGATAAAAACACGATACCAGCAGCAGATTTGCCTCGAGGATACATCTATATCTTAGGAAGGAAAATTCTTTTACTACTGTTATCTATATTCCGTCACGATTTTCCAAGTATTTATTTTCTCACGGTATATGTAGCTAGTGAAAGAGAAACATGCGATCTCGTGTGAACACTTTATGCATGTACAATAAACATTCGTTTGTGTTTTTATGTAGCACTTTATAACCGGTGTCACTGGCAATAACTAAAATAAATAATATTTTTATTGACTTGAAACATATATAGATGCTCTCCGTTTTCTTTATTAGAAAAAAAGTTAGATATGAAAGAAATTAATAAAATAGAAGAAAATACAATTACAGGTCAACGAATTTCGAGCTTTCGACTTGGAAAATTGAGTGTAATTGGTTCTCGTAGAAATGTTGGTTCTGAGAGGAAAATCAGACAGACGATTCGTTTCGTTTACATGGTAGGAGAAGCGTAATCCGTTATATAGTGAGCTGTCGCGTGGGTCAGAGAACCCTTGGTACTTGGGGAAGCTTTTCGAAAGTACGAAATCCCCAGGTTGAGGGGTGAATCCAATAAGCGGACGGTGCGGAGCTTCCGCAGGTGGCGGCGAAGCAAAGAAAGTACCGGTGGAAGTGAAGGTGGTGTTGGTGATGGTAGTGAGTTGGTGGTGAAGGGTAAAACGAAAGGGAGAAAAGAGGAACACAAGAGTGAGGACACACTCTCCGAGTGGTTGAAGAAGTGACTCGTATAGAGAGAGAGAAAGAGAGACAGCTTCTGTCGGTGGCTGTCTGAATAGAAATTCACCACCATACAATCCCCATTATCCTTCGATTTGAAGTTTCACGACAAAGGAGTCTCTCTCAGTAGACGCGCTATTCTAAAACGCCAACGCCACCGATTTTGCATACGATCGAACGAACAATTTCGGTATTGGCCGTAGGTGACGACACGTGAGAGTCCACTCCTCTCTTTTTGTCGAGATGCATCAGCGTAATTGAAAGAACAAAGTAAATCGGGTATAACGTTTGATGACAGGGAAAGGATCAAAATATTTCTACCCCTATAAATTGGTAAAAGATAATATTAAATTTGCATATTCCTAGCTAAAGGAATCGATCAAAATATTTCAACGTACAAATTATTATACTATTAAATAATATCGAATGTACATATTCCAAGAGAGTAATATATTTTATTTGAATCATATTTCGTTATATTCTGTTAGACGTAATATGAGATAATATAAATATAGAAAATAATTCTATAATCGAAAAATCAAATATTGAAAGAAAATTATGATACCTATACATTTACTTGGTATTTGTTTTTTCTCATTTATCTCGTCGGTTCATCGAACATACCGGATATCCGAGGACTTTTATATTTGTTCTTGAATATCGTGTAGGGGAAAAACGTTTGTATGTTATTTTGTATGTAAGTATATTAGTATATGTATGTGAACAAGTGTACATATGTATCGATTCTCGTAATATTCAGTAACATTGTGAATGTGTTATTAATATTGCCCGCGCCTTACTCAGATTACAGAAGGGTCGGTCAACAAACTGTCATTTCCTTTTATCCCACTATGTGCACAAGGTCGCCATGAATCGCCTCTCCCTCTCTCTCTCTCTCTTCTATTATATACCAGCAACGTTAAATCTTACCTCTCATAAACTGGACAAGAGAATATTGCAAAGAATCTTTTCTCAAGCGATATAGCTACGATCTTAGATGAAACAAATTACATGGGGAAGAATAGAAGAATTGAAACTTTCGAGTCATGCGACGATATGTAACTCCATTGAAAAAGAATATTGGACGTATAATAAAAAAAAAAAGAATATGTGAGACCTACACGCAATATAATTGTTGTTTATTCAATTTCATCTCTTTTATTTCTAAAAATGATACAAATAACTAAAATATAATAAATAACCGATCAAGATATCTTTGAAATAGCGCATAAATTGTTGTATCTAATCGAATTATCGCTGCAGTGGAATTATTAAACATTTTAAAATAACTATTATTATATTTCTATTAACAAAACATTTTGAACACTTTTTACTATTTACTCTTTATTCTCTATTCTTTGATTTTCTTTACTTTCATATTAACTCACGACTGGCTTCTAAAGTTTTACTTTAAAAAAGAAAAAAAATTTATTATGCGAAGTTAAAAAATAACAACTTGAAGACGAACTTTCGATATAAAATAAGTAGATACCTACTCGATCGATACTTCCGAAACCATTTCGTTAGGAAATTATTATTCCATCAGAAATGGTGCTTCAGCATAAAACGAAACCGCGAGATGGAGGTACCAAAAGGATAGTTCTGGAAAGTATAGCCGTGCTTCAATTCAGGAACCTCTTCGATGGAAGCTTCCCTATTCTACACTCGGGATCTCAACGAAGTAACTTAGTTGTTGTTCCATCAGACGAGTTACTTTTCTACAAAACGAAACTGCAATGTTAAGATAGTTTCTCAAGTATGACGATGGAGTCCTATAGGATAGGGTCGATCAAATAGATGCCGGCCTATCTGTTAGATATATTCCATGGAAGGAAATTTATTTTTTAGCAAGTAGAATAAAAAAGAAATAAATTAATTGCTCGTTAAAATAAGATAGACTCTAGAGATAAAGAAAAATTAACATCAGGATAAATCAATAGAACGGAACAAAAGAGTCTCTTTGTTCGTTGACGAGTTTGCCCGCAAAGAATGGCTTTCATCAGACAGTCGAAACGACGATTAAGCTTTCGAGGTGGAAGGGTAACCGAGGTGGAAGATAGAAACAAGTTGGTGAAGGGACACACGAGCGCATTTGTAGATGGAGAACTTCAAAGACCTGGATGGGTACCACCAATTGAACCGTTGTATACTCTCCCGTTACAAGAGCCGTGCATCCCTTTAAGATTTAATGTAATGTAAATATCTGCGGTAGTGTAAACGCCCAACTGTTCGTTGCTTAATTGCCCAGGTGATCGAAAAGAGTGAACGTTGAGAGAGTCTGAAGGGTTTGATAAAACAGGCGGAAAGACGGAGAAAGGAGGAGAAAGAGAAAGTGAGAGAAAGAAAGGGAGAAGAAAAAATCGAATAATAGTTCAACGTAGACATTAGGATTAAATAACCATATGAGATAAATAAAGTGAAGAAAAGTCTTGTCTCATTTAAACGTGAAACATAATAATGGTAACAAAATGTAGAAAATTCTAATAATTATATCATTCAATGTTAAAAACTATGATTTAACGAGACGATTTTATTAGAGCGCCGTTTTCAAAAGGCTATGCAAATACTTCCGGTTATTTTATGCATTCGCCTAATGTACTTGAAAAAGGTGAGCGAAAGGTAGAGGGGACAGCCTTGAAAAATAAGATTACGTTAGCCTGAAGAGTCCATGTAAATTTTACTACGAACTTCATGCAAATGAGGTGCCTAAACTTCGAAGGGAGAATCAAAATAAAAAAATAAAAAAAATAAAAAAAAGAGAAAAACAAAAAGAGAAAAGAATAAAGATTCGAAAAGAGATTATATTCCGCGCGAGACTTCATCCATAAATAAACCGATAAAGAGTCTAACGTCTCTCGTTTGCTTTTGTGTTGTTCTTTGACTCCCGCAAGCTTCGATTCACAAAATTTTATTTTTAAGTCAGCGTTTACGCCGGTATTAAAAACTATTCGGGAGTTCCCAGTCAAAGAAGAAAAGCTTAAATGAAAAAGAACAAAAGGCTTTGGCGTGAATTTATCCGAGCACGAACCTTGTCCTAGCTGCGTTTCCTAACGGCAGTGGTCAAAAATTCATCGGTTGTACGAGAATAAATCCGAACTTCTCGTTCACTTTCTAACCCCATTACACCGAGACCCATTGTTTGCTAAAACAAAGCTTCCACGAGGTCGGCTTCCCCGCAACATCGAGGTTACTCCAAGCCACTCACCACCTAGCGTCGGAGTATATTGTGCTTTGCTGAAAAAAGACGAGGGTTCCTAACAAAGGAAAAGGTACTGGGCTTTTTCCTGAATACATTAGAAGACGAGTAGCGCCTCGCGTCACCACGTGAATTCACGATTATATGCTCTAATTGGTCTGATGTAACCCAGACCACGATGAGGAAGTTCTTTCATCGTAAACTTCAAAACAAAAACAAAAAAAAACAAGAATTCGCATACAGGAGTGCTGTAAAACGCGTGCAAAAAATTCCAATCATCTATAGAAAATATTAAACACCAAGATTTTACAAAACCAATTTGCTTGGACTTTTTAGATAAACATTCTAACAGTATTTTACGTAGCAAATAATAAGTAATTTAATAATTAATACGTAACATTCGAAAATATTTTTACAAATTCTTACCGACAAGCTCGAAAAAGTCCAACGGCATTCTCATAAAGCCTCATTCGTAACAGTTTTTGAATTCTCTTCATTGCATCACTCCTACAAACAAATTAGATAATTTTGCATAATAATAAATCAAATGCGATAAATTGTAATAAAAGGAATGAAATAAAAGTAGATGTACTTTTGATTGTCAACGGGTATGTCAAGCGTAGCGTCAAACGGTATCATTTCCGGTATCGTAACTCCTTGCATCACCACAGATAATTCCGGTGCCAGATCGTCCCAACGATCCTCTAAGCTTGGAGCAGGTGTTTCTTCCTTTCGTGATACAGCTAGAAAGGTTGGAAAAAAAATATTAAAGAAAAAAATAAGTAAAGAGAGAGAGAATATGACTTTAAGAGGCACAAACTTTGTATAAATTCACATCTTACGTTTGTGCTTTTTACTTTTCTGTCTTTTTTTCTTCAACTTCTGTACTATGAGACTTCGTTGTCCCTTGGCGCAGAACTGTTCCAACATCTTTAGAAAAATGTGGGCGGTCGTTACTAGGTCGATCAGGTATTTCCTGCAAACGCGAAGTTAAACAACATATTTCTTGAGATCCTCCTTGGGGCTCTGTGGTACCAAGATAATAAGATCTTCTGTGAGCTGACACAATGCTAAATAAGATGTCTCGCAGCTAACCCAGTTCTTGCGATCCATATCTTTGAAAAGGATTTCTCGTTTTGCGGTTAAAAGAGTGGAAATGGTACTTGGACAATAATGATCCGTAAAATATAAAAGTGATTGGACTTTGCGTGCGTTTGATAAAACGAAATTAAAAAAGAAAAAGAACAAATAGTATAAAAATAAATGAATAAAACAAAGCTAAGAATTGATTTAATTTTGATGAAAAATGTCTCGACCAAATACTACGCGAGTATCTTATTAAATATAAAATAATAAACCTTTAAAACAACGAGCATAAACAATAAGGCAAACAACTACTTGACGACATTTCTGGCCGTCCGAGAGTGGCAACAGCAACGGTTAATTAATCAATTTAGACTTCAGGGTGGCGGGGTGCTGACGGGAAAGTTTGACAGTGTCTTCGGAACTATGTTTTCCTCGGCATCGCCGGGACGTCAAAGCGACGAGACGATATCGCAGTGGTACACCGCGGCGCCCTTACATTTCCGTCGTAGAAATCCCAGGAAAAGCCGTCAAACTCGTAGCAACTTGAACACCCACCGCCTTTCCCTATTTCGCTTGGCCGGAAGGTCGATAAAAGTTGTTTATTCCGGCAAGAAACGTAGAAAAAGAGAGAAAAGGGGAGAGTTATTCGAGAAAAAGAAGAGAGAAAGGATAGGGGATGAAAGAATCAGTGAAAAGAAGAAAAGAAATAGCTAAAAAAGGATAGTGCTGTGTTGGTAGAGGTGGATGGAAGAAAAAAAAAGAAAAGAAAAAAAGAAAATACAGAAAAGGAAAGAGAGGATGAGGTGGAAAGAGGTATGGCAAAGAAGTCGACCGATTGATCTGAAAGTGAATCAATCTGTCTGCGATAGATAAAACTTTCGGTAAACAGTTGGTTTTTGGGCTCGACAATGGCAGACAGATCAATAAAAATGGGCTCGATGTCGGGAAACGCGAACGAGATAAGTACGCTGACGGATGTAACACCTTTCGCGTAAAATTGAGAACAAGCAAGAAGCGAGATTCGTTGAAAATCAAAGAGAAAATATATTTAAGTTTGGAAAACTCAACGGGCCAAGTACTCGTCGTTCGCCGCTCCGCGTTTCTCAAACTTTTCAATCTCGTTACTGTCTCAGAACTTGGCAGACCATTTGAAACTTATTAATTACTTCTGCCAAGTTTTTACTGTCGCCTAATTTTAATTACAGAACGTAAGCTCTAAGACCGACTAATGACGCCGAGTCCCTTGGTTGCTCGCGCTTGATTTTTACCCTCCGATCGATCAAACGTAATAATACGACAAGGTATATTATATTAACGATGAAAACGTTATTCAAAGCATCATGTTGCCGCATTAAATGTGATATAAGGATATTTATTTCTTTACCAACCGTGACATCTTGAGTTCGTCGAAATTAAGAAGCTGCGAGAGTATCGTTTCCCGATATTCCGGAACATAAAACACGTTGCTTTTAATGACCTTGCTAGATTCTCTTATACTTTGCTCCGAACTTTTATCCATCGCCATTAACGTATGAAGGAGTTCCTAAAATATTATACATCAGTTTTTGACAATTTCATCAATCATACCTTATTTCCTTCACTCTCCTCACCTTATATGCTTTCAAAGCCAAATGCAATCTGTGAGACCATATCGGTATCCTTTCCTTATCAGTAAGGATCATCTCGTAATACAGACTCATTTGTCTTTGTATTATATAAAATTCTTCCGTGGATATCGTTTCGCTGTGAAATAAAAAAACTAAAATAGATATGTCTGCCATCGACGTATTTGTACAAAAATAGTAAATGAAAACACCTTTGAGTCATGGAAAATTTTTCTTTTTTAATGAAAAAAAAAATTTTAAAAAAAGCACAAACGAAAATGGAATTGCATTCACGCACGAATTGATGGTATACAAAATCGTTGGGAAAATTTAAGCCCCGAAGCGTACGTTGCTTAAAATCGAAAACAAGACGAGTTGGAGAGAAAGAGAAAAAAGAGAGTATATATATATGTATTTGGGTATGCATATACTGTTACGGTAGAGAACTAGAAAGTGCACTTCCTACAGACGCATACAAAAAAGCGACGATGCGTAAAACGAGTTCGGAAACTCGTTCTCCTGCCGTTTATATCGAGCAAGCAGCCACTTCACAACGAGAGGATCTCCGTGACCTTCAGTATACCGAAAATAAAGTCATCTCCTTCCTCTCCATTGACGTTAGTTATCTTTCTCTTTCTCTTTCTCTTCCATTTACTCCTGAAAGTAAGTATTTATGTGCACTTACCACACGTATTTTACTTGAAACTTGTAACATCGATTAAACTCCATGAAGAAACGTAACGCCCATAAATAACAACTGCTCTCCGATGTATTGCATTGAACGTCACTGATAATACACGACTTGGCATGTTTCATTACTGGATTATACACGCCATTGAGAAATTCCACGCAAAATTCTTTTAAGAAAAGTCTTACGCTCAGAGCTGATACACGTTCGTGCATTGAATCCTGCATCGCTAGTCTGTTCTTTGGTTTCTTTACTTTCGTCTATCGAAATTAAATGATTCGGTTAAGTTATTTAGAAATTTCAGTATTTCGATAAGAAAAAAGATCGTAAAGAAAATTCGCGAAGCACGTAAGAATGTGATATAATGTAGATAAAAAGAAGTAAATAGCATCGTTCTGTCGTAATAGCGTGATCTACGCTCTCGCTAAAAATAGGAGGAAAAAGGCTGAGTGAAGTGGATGTAAGAAGAGTGTAAAAGTCCTGCATAATAGGTATTACCGACACCTCCCTAGAATGATGCTTTCAAACACCCATGAACTAACCCATGGACGTGAGCTAGGAGCAAATTTATGACGGTACATAATGAAAACGTGGCACGTGGATACCAGGAAAAGTTTTGCTCTTCTCGAAAACTGTAGATAGGATAGTAGAAGGTAATAGCAATGTAGGAGAAAGTGAAATGGAGAGAAAAAGAGAAAAGAAGATAGCACCTTGCAAGATAAAAAAAAAGAGTAAGAGACGCAATCTAGACACAAGAATATAAGACAGAAGAAGTGGAGTCTTAAGGTGGATGCATGGGGATAACAGCTGACCCACTTTGAAATGCTTCAAAATGCTATTAAGGATAGGCCAAACTCTAATTACGCAAGGATAACTGTAACTAACAAGCGTATTTTCATTCAAATCCGAACAAGGTTCTTCTCACTTACTCGCTAATGAAAATTAAAGCGAAAAGCCACCTACGTAATTGAATAAGCCATTTTCTTTACGTGTTTTTATTCTCACTGTTTCTTTCTCTTTATTATATTTTTCCTTTTTTTTTATGTTTATTTTTATTTTTATTTTTACTCTACGAGATGCATTTTATAGTCAAATAAAAATTACACAAAAAGCACCGTTATCAAATGTTTTTAAAATTACATACTCTACAATAGGTTGCATTATTCTCACTTACCTTTTGGGAATTAAACTCGAGTGCCTCGACTTTTTCATAAGGCTTGTGACACAACATCTGATTATCTCCGATTGCCTTCATATTCTGCACCACGTAGGTCCCGCCAAAACGCGAATGTCTGGAAAAAGAAGAAAAATGTTTAAATAATGTAAATTTAAAGACTTTCAATTATATTTATTATAATATATGACTCCTTTCTTTTCCATTTTCAGAGAATTTACAACACGACGGAAAACGATAAAAGTATTGTTAGCTTTCATCAAAGTGAAAAGTATTTATTATTCATATTCATAAAGAATGTTATTCCATAGAAAAGGCTCATATAGAAAATGCAGAATAAATGGATACATTTAAAGTAAGAAAAAACTTCTCTAAGAATAAGCAGAGAGTAGATGCGGCAGCTTTCAATCTCTGATCGAAGATAGGAACCGAGCGCTCGATTCAAAGTTCGTAAGTAAAAGAGAGCTTATCATTCAAATCCAATTTTATCCATAACTCCTGAAAATCCAATCAATGGAATAGAAGACGACTGTCACCGGCAGATAGTTTCTTAAATGACGAAGGCAGCCTTCTTCTCTTTCTCCTATTTCTCGCCTCTCTTTCTTTCTCTCATTCCCTCTCTCTTAACTTCTTGCTCTCTCTCCTTTTTCCCTTACAACTCTCCCGCATATTCTGTCGATGAATTCATTTACACGATATTTCTACCCGAACCATTTTACAATCATCGTCGATTTTTCGAACTACAATATACCGAAAGATCGATGCCTAACTTGAACCATTCGAAAAATTAAACCAAATCATTCGAAAGAAAAGATATTTTTTTTTCTAAATATATATTAAATTACTAACATGATTCATAAAAAGTTGATTTTACATAAACACAGAAAATATTGTAAAAAAAAAGGGTGTAGAATAATCATTTATTTTAGACTCGACTTTATCCATACAACGATTCCATTTGCCCGTCGTACAGCCGACTTTTACCCCCTTAACCCCGAAGACTCACGGAACAAGAGTAAAAAGAAGAAACCCCAGGACGGGTTTGTGTCTAGATTCTACTGCTCCCGACTCGTAGCTTGGTCGTTTTATCGTTTTCCGATCGACTTATCCCAGCATTCGACCATGGTTAAGGGGAGGAAGATAAAGTAAAAAAGAAAAGAAAAGAAAATAAAGAAGCGAATTTTTTCACCCAATCCCCGTTTCCTTTCAAGTCGCAAAAAGCATTTCGCGTTGAGCACACGGCCTCACGAGAATGGAAGAAAACGAAAGAGTGAGAAGATATGTGTGTGTGTGCGTGTGTAAGAAAGAAAGAGGGTGCCCTGAACGACGAAGAAGCTCGTTACTAGAATACAGCTCGCTTCTTCCCAACAAGTGGATAAAAGCCTTCTATTCGCGCGCGTTCAAACCCAGCGGTCCTATCTTAAAAAGTAGGTCATATTCATTACAACATACACGACGACGTCGTCGTCGTCGTCGTCGTCATCATTGTCGTCGTTGTCGTCGTCGTAGTGCAAAAGAAGCAACACTAGTCGGAGTAACATGAGCAAGAGAACGATCGCAATTCAGCCAAAAAGGTATCCGGTGTTGAGTAGCGGAGTCATCAGCAAGCAAGCTCTTCTATGCTTTTCTTACACCGTATTTGTGCTTCCTCGACACTTATGTTCGTTGGACCGTTAAAATGAAAACAGTTTAGGAGAGAACGTTCAAATTTATGAATCTAGAATTTTGAAAAATAAAATAAAGAAATCATCTCAAATAAAATAAAGAAATCAAATTTAATATATTTGTAAAATATAATATTAAATATTTCTAATAAGACGTTTTTTTATATTTTAAATTCGATTTAAAATGATTATTATCAGTTTGCTGATTGTAAAAAAGTTTGAATTGTTTTTATTGAGTTCTAGCAATTCGTTGAAATTAAATTAAATTAAACTTCCACATTCCATTGTTAAGTTGATTATGTTGAAAATATAAAATATTTATATAGTTAGCTAGAAACACTTAATATTTTATAGACGTTTAAACGTTTTATGTTATATCCAACTTCCTATTTCATTTGAGAAATGTTTTCGTCAAAATCTCCGATTCATAATTCTGAATGTCCTCTTGTCAGAGCCAGAAGCGGTAGTACCGCGTACTGTGCAGTTCACCGCATCGAGTCTGGAATCTTTTCGGTTTAATACGTTACCGTTTCGTGCCAGCATGCACACATGATGAAATGAATGAAATGAATCAAGGAAAAAAACGCGACACCCCATATCAGTATCTATGAAAAATGAATTGCCACAAATGAAAAAAAATATTCTATGTAAAATGTTTTAAGAAATGCGACGTTGAATGTATTTGAATTACAAAGTGATTCGATAATCTCGAGGTGGTATTTTAATATAACGCGTTGGATAAAATCTAACATAAATAAAAATTTTAAAATGATGAATAGAAACGAGAAATCGGGTTACGTACAATTTAGAGCGTAAAATTAGAGAACGTCCACAATGTTTGTAAGAAATAAAATATATTCCTTGAAAATTTCAAGTATCATTCATGAAAAAAAAGTTAAGGAATCGTACGGAAAGGAAAGAATTTAGCTTAAATTAATGTATTATGAATTTAATAGCGAACTCGTAGCTTTTTATTGCATACAGAGCTCTGAAAGTTTTCTTGAAAAGCCTTAAGAAGATGAACATGAAAGCGATAAAAATCTGACCCAAATGAAAAGATAAGGTCTAGGAAGGCATCATCTTAAAATCTTATTCATACAGTCATATACTTTTTCATGTTATGTTATTAATTATAAATTAACAAAGAAGTGGACCACGAGTTGAATAAGATTCGAAGTTAAGTTTTTGTATTTACAATAGTGCTCATTTATTTACTTACTAAAAATCAGATCTTGTAGCATTACATAAAAATATAAATTTTATATAATTATAATTCTTACCTGGCACCAGCATACTTCTTTATTTTTTCCAATTTTTCCAATTTTTCTTTCTGTCTTATTGATAGTAGATATGCTTCATCCTTTGCCTTTTCTATATTACTACGCTGTAAACCTGCTGTTGCCAATTGACTTGCATTTTGATCACATAGCATCAATGATATGATCTTCAAAAATCATCATAACATTGTTTAATATATAAACTATTAAATTTTAATATTGTAGTCTAGAGTTACAATGTGTGCATACCTCCAAAATCTGCATGTGGTATTGTTGTTCTTTGGCACTGCTAGCAATGAAAAGTAATATGTCAACGATACCAGATGCATGAAGCGCAAATAATACCTAAGAGTAAAAAGTATGTTGTAAAATAATTCCTTTGATTATCATAAGAAGAAACATTATCATTTGATAAGTTACCTGATCATGAACCGTAGCATCATTATCAGGACGCTTTTCATTTTCATCTGGAGGGACTTGAAGTACATTTCTGATCAACGCTAAGATTCTTTCAATGATCATCTCATTTTCCTCCCCTCTTTCCAAATTATCCTATAATAATAATTAATTATATAAAATAATTTATTATAAATAAAACTTTTCTAACATATAATTTAAAAATGAAACTTACAATACTGAAGATAGCGGTCAAGCGTTTATTAACTATTTGCCATATTTGATCATCCGCTAAAGCTACTTTGTAACTTTGTAAATATGATATAATTTGTAAATAGTAACTGCGCATGGTCTTCTCCATAGGAATTTTTTCATTATATATTAACAAGGCAGGACTTGTTAAATTAATAATCAACCTGATAAATATAAGGTTTACACTCATATATTACAAATATATATTGTTTGTTATCTCAATCTATATTTAATATAAAAATTAACCTTAGCAACACATCCCACAAATCTAGTTTATCATAATATTGTACAAAAATTTTAAGAAGATCTGATTGAAGTAATTTTGTCTGGCCAAGATAACGACGTATGGTATGAGTTTCATCATCCCTTTTTAAATATTTGATCAAATCCTTTATAACATCTAAACAATATTAAAAATAAAATCTTTATTATATCAGCATTATTAACTTATACCAATTATATTTAATCAACTCACCTAAACAATTTTTATCCAAATAATACTTTTGCCCATCATAATAACCTAATGCAGCACAAGTAGCTGCTAACTCTGCAGACATATAATCTGTCATTGTTGCATTAAACTATTTTAAAGGCAATTTAGGCCAAAATAATAGATTACTACAATGATTATCTAGCTGCATATATCTAAAAAATAATTATTACAAGCTAATCTAAATAAATTTAAAGGATACATGTAATATGAAAGTATAACATAATATAATATTTAAAAATATAATATAATATCAATAATAAATATTAAATAATAAATAACAAATAAAAATATTTTAATATTTATGATGATGAAAATTAACATTCACCAGGTTTATTTTATTTAATATATATTTCTGACACACATGATTACTACATACCTTAGAAAGACAGTATACCAGCATTGAGGTTAGGAACTCGAAAACAACACATGTTATAATAAGAAATTCTGACAACAAACTATTTGTATCAAATAAGAACACTTTAATTTATTAATAAATAATAAAATAACTATTTGATCACTAAAGTAACACTTTATTAATTTTTTTTAAAGATGTAATAAGCTTACAAGCAGGCACTACATGTATATGAAGCAACAGGTTAAAAAACGCGGGAAAATTTACTGCACAGAGTGACAGAATAACAGTGACTGACCAATAAAAGGAGAAATAATAAATGCACCTATCAGAAACGAAATATTAATATGACCACTATTCAAATAGGATAAATGTTCTAAATTCAAATTTATAGTACGTATAAGCATATTTATATTTAAAAGTATTTTTTAAATTTATATAGCTAATTTAAAAATTATTTTTGTTAATTATAAAATTTCTAATAACTTTAAATGATTATTAATAACACTCAAGAGATATTTTTTAAATTAAATTTAACCTAATTAATTAATTTAATATTATATATAATAATATATATTAATTTAATTAATTAAATATATTAATTTATTATATATATTATATATTATATATATATATATATATATATCAGGGCTCCTCTAACTCTTCTATTTGTCGACTAACTTTACCGAAACAAGTATTTCCCAATCTTAGATATAGACTCTATATCTTCTTTTTCACTATCATAAACTCACAGACATACTACACATACATGTAGTGCTGCTAAATTGTTTTTGAATTTATTTTCACCTAAGAATTTCCTTGTTTTATTAAAATATCTGCGACCCCATACTTTGTGAAGCTGTAATATATATTATACTGTATATATATAAATATAATTTAATTATATTCATGATATTTAAAATATGAAAAAAGCTTGTCTCAGTTTTGCATTAAAATACGAAGAAACTTTTTCCCCTAACCCAATATAACATATCCCATGACTTTAGCTCTCTCTATAGTCATTTAGAATGTAGATACGCTCATTCCTGCTCGTTTCTGTTTGTTCCTGTTCAGAAGAGAGAAGTAGGTTAAACGAGGAAGGTAATGGAAATCGATATTTCCATCGATAGGAAAGTTCTTCGAAGCGTACACAAACGTGAATGCAATCATGGCATTGCTTTTTGACCGATCGATCCGTGAGATTTCGTATTCCGAACTAATGCAGGAAGTAAAAGTTTCCAAACGATAAAAATAAGCCCTCTATCATTTGAGTAACAGTTGTTGCAATGTTATTTTTGGTAAGCTTACTAAAGAGTTTAAATTAATAAACGCGTTTTTTCGCAAATATGAACAAACTACGCTAAAGATAATTGAAGTTGAGCGAACCTAATTTTTGCTAAAAAATTCATTTATCACTGATCTTAAGATTGATTACTTGTAAATCTTTTCTTTAGAAAGTTAAATAAGTTTATGAAAATTTTATCTATCTAAAATCTAATAATATTCTGATAAAAATAAACAATAAATTTACACATTCGTTTGAATATATACATATATACAGAGAGAAAGAGAGAGAGAGAGAGGGAGAGATAAAATAATAGAAGAAATAAGAAAATATAATAATAAATATTATTGTGCGAGCAAGTCTGCCTGAGTCGAAGACTATTTCCAGGTGATCGCTGACAAGAAGATGATCAACAAAGATCTTGACAAGAAGATCGCGGTGTTTAGACTTGCTTTAGAAGCGTGGAATTGTTCCGGTAGTTACGAACTAGAGAGCTCACATCATGTTAATTACTGTTCCGTTCTATTGTTCTGCTCTTTGTACATTAAGTTTTGTTGAATTCTCATTGTAACCCTGAGTGATGACTAACAATATATTATGCATATATGATAAATCACAAGTTTGATAATCTGAAAAAGAATAATAGGTCATATATGTAACATCAGCTTTTGGTTTAGAAGAGTTATCGAAAGACTTTTAGAATATAATTTATAGTACTTTTAGAACACCTTAGTTTATACACCATATGTCTCAGAAAAGGTGACTTTATATATACGAGCAAGTAAGACTAAAAAATAGTATAAAACCCTACCTTTTTACACACATACAAGCACCCTATGATCGTTTTATATAATATTATATTTTTGTTTAAACGCAACGTTTTAAAAATACATACATATCTATAAAGAATAAGACGAAGGACACAACAAGAATTAAGAAAGATTAAAATCGTTTTCTAAGTTTTCCAAGTATTATAGTAATTCGATATCGCTCGTTCACCGTCCAATAAATCTTTCGAGATATAGACAGGAAAAGCATGACTCTCTTGTGGATACAAGACTAAAAGTTATTGTCGCATTGTAACTTTGAATTTGTGCAAAGCTTGCATCAGTAGAATTACCAGTGAATCGATTTGCACGAGTGCATTCACCGTTCATCCATAAAAATTTATACTTCCAATTACAGAATATAAATGAAATTTACATACATGCATTGAATGGCACGAGCCCGATGTTGATTTTTTTATATTGAATGTGCCTCTTTATGATATTTTATTATATTTATCTTTATATAATCTAAAAGATAAATAATAAAATAACATTTGCGATCAGTTAAATATTATTCCAATAAAATACGTAATTTAATTATACGAGAATAGCACTTTGACTTTCTACAAATGACTTTTCATTATACTAATGTTTATTTAATGTAATATAAGCAGAACAACTTTGGCTACTCCCGATAGTAACAACAAGAACAATACATTCACTCTATCTCGTATATTCTCCTTACTTTGATCGATGCTCAGGAACTTCTCATCGATTATTATCAAAACTACAACTACGAAAGTCCAAACTTGTCATCAGATAACGCTTAGTTCTCAAGTAAATGCAGCTACCCACGAAGTAAGTTCCAATTTATTTTTATCTGTCCAGAATTCGAGAATATATCAATGAAAAATCTACGAAAATCCATTTCCCCTCTTTCTATTCTATCTATTCTTCTTTTTCTCTTTTCATTTCCTCGCTTATACTGTTCTCGATTGCGAATTTGTTTCGTCAAGCGAGGACGTACCCATCAAAGAAGTCGCTTTTTCTATCGTTTTTTTTCGTTATTTTTTCTTTCCCTGTAGTCAACATGAAAGAGAAGGGATCAAGGATCTCTATTATTTCACTATAATGCAAACCTACGTTTTCGATGAGCAATCTGCTTGAGTAGACATTGTCCACGAAAGAGGAAAATAAAGCCATAAATCCAATTCCTTCGTAAGGAGAAAAGTCAGGAGTGAGTGCGATAAACGGAGAGTAGAAGTTGCTAACGGTTAAGGGAAAAGGGGAAATAGAGATAGAGAGAAATATATATATTGTATATATATACCTATATCTATAGAGCGAGAGCGAGAGAGAGAAGGATTGTGAGCAGCAGAGGATGAATGATGCGAGAAATCGAAAACAATGGTCACGGCAGAATCACGAGAAGGACGATGAAGCTGGTGTCCGAGAGCACTATGGGACAAACAAGCGATGACCAATCAATATCAACGAGTGTATATACATATATCTAGGTCATTGGGTTATCCGACGAAATTGTTCGCACCTGTTCGTTGATTTAACTCGTTCTATACGTTCATATGTTGTTTTTTATTTCCTCCAATTTTTTTCTAACCTTTTCCACGCTTCTATCACGCACGATATGAACTGAGACGCACTACACATGTATATATTATTTTCGTTTGAACGAATTAACAAATCTATACAGTGACTCGGAACACATTCTCGTGATCTAATCACTAAAATTATTTAATTACATATATTTTAATCATTTTTTAAACACATTCGTTCGATGAATTTGTATTTATTAAGAAAAAATCTAGAAAAAAAAAAATAGAAAGATAAAATAATGTTTCTGCAATATCGATGATATATTTCTGAACAACCCTGTACACCATCTCGATCGTTTTCTAACAATGTATGACCGCGCGTAATCGCCTGCACAGAGCGCATACGAACCCACGCCAGCAAATTTCACAGACCGAGAAAAATCATGGGAAATTTCCTGCGGTTAGACGACGGAATCGATTGCGCCATCCTTGTGAAAGTAATTTTTGTTCTCTGTTCTTTCCCTTCCCTTTTTTTATTCCTTACTCTTCTTTTTTCTTATCCCTTTCCTACCATTTTTTCTCCTTTCACTCTCTCTCTTTCCTTCTCTACACTTTTTATTATTTCCTTTTTTTATCCGAGAAATTCGATAATACATGGGAATAACTCTTTTATTTTTTTCTAACCATGCAAGATGACTCTTCACGTTCGAACAAACGTATAGATTACTATGGTCGTTGATCATTAATACCTATGTTACATATTGACGATTTATTAGAATTTATGTCTAATGGGAGTTAAGTTTAACGATTTTGAATGGGGTGCATATTCGATTTTTGTTCTTGTCGTCTTTCAATGACCAATAACGTCAAATTCGTCATGAAGAATCAGAATCCGCCGAACAAGCCGGTTATTATTTGTACGAGATAATTAGAGATAACAAACGTATATTTGCGGTTCATCGTTCAAATATGCACGTCGATCCTGATGTTTGAATTTACACGAGCGTACGTATGCTCCTCTAAATACTCTACGAGCTAGCATGTTTTTGAAATGAGTAACGAAAATATAGAGAAAAAACAAAGAGATAAAAAAAATATATATATAAAACCAGTAAATAAATGAATGAATACATATAACACTGTTTGATTATAAATGAATCACTTAATTTTCTTTTTATTTTAAAGGCTAATGTTAAATTTAATATAAAATTGAATTTTGACAAATTTGGTAACTAGCATTTAATTGACATTCCAAAAAAATATTCATCAGAATAAATTTATAGTAAGAGTACATGTGCAATCAAGCATGGACAGTATTACAGTATTGTTCTTATAAATAAAGATTAAAGAGGAAAATATATGTTTAAAACAATTATCATTTTTTATATAAAGATATTATAAAATAGATAATATATATTTTATAATTAGAACATGTGGATATCCATCTTTACGATTATTATTTGATATATTTTTATACATTCGATGTAATATTTCTTGCTTCGAACGAATCATTTCAA